TTTGTAACTTCTCCATCCACTAGATGTCAGAGCTTGGATTTCAAAACGGGGATTTGGCTTGGGTTTGCCCTGGGCCTTCAGGCCTTGACTTCAGAATCTTTTCAACTCCCTGGGCCTGGCAGAACCAAATCTTATCATAAAAAAGTTCAGTTTAAGGCCAATGTTAAAATGGGGTGTTATAGACTGGAAATTTCTGAAGCTTTATCTAAACAAAGTGAAAATATTTGGCAATGAGAAACAATAACAAAGTACCAATTGCCGACACAGCATTTCATGAACCCAAGAGGGAAAACACTGCAGCCTTAATTTCTTGCATTTCCCCCATTGGATCAATAGCAGGGAGACTTTCTCTCCACTGTCTCTGGGTATGAATCTTAAGAAAAGGATCTCTTCCACCTCTTCTCTGTCAGAGCTGGTAATACTAGTAAAGGCCCAGATTCTCCACACCCTTCCTGTTATTTACACTTTTTCACATGTTCCAAAGAGGAACCCCAGAAAAGAGAAGTAATTCTGTTTGGTCAGTGCCAACTGAGCAGCCCCTGCTTGTCTTTTCTTTAGTGTGAACATTCCTTCCTTGGGTCTTCCGGCTCAGGCTGAATCTCCCTCTCCTGCCTCAGTGATGCTAAATAATTTCCCCAATACCATGTTCATGTGACAGATTTCTCCATTCTGTCAGCCTGGGGTGGGGGTGGGGAAAAAAACAAAAGCCCCATAATAATCCTTCCTAAGAACACTAGAGCAGTAAAAGCAAGCTAATTGTTGTGAGACAGTTTACATGTATGAAGAGAGGAAAATTATAGTCTCAGGCTCATTGTTGCTTCAAGGACACCTCTGCTAATCAGTTGTCTTTTCATCTCTCTGGTTAATTTCCAATTACCCTGATTTTATAATGAAAGTGAAAATAATACATTATGAAAAAAACTTACTGAATGTCAGGATTTGTTTAAACATTCTATGTGTATGTCTCATTCAACACTGGCAGCAATACTGTGAAAGAGGTATGTCTGTTCAACAGATGAATTTCACAGGGTCTTGGATCATCATGGTGAGGGAAAAAATGTCAGAGTTCATGGTGGTGGGAAGATGACCAAGACCCTGTGTAACAATAGCCAAAAGAAATCTTCCCTCTTTAATTTGCTAGTATCTGGTCACAATGACATATAAATATCAAATACATAGATCATGAGATTAAGAGTTAAGTGCAACTTATTTGGGGAGGAGCTATTTCTCAAAACAGAAAAAGAGTGGGACAGGGAAGGAAAGAAGATGATACAAAGCCACATAATTGGGTTTTCATTAACAGTGGAACTGTCCTGATGAGTATCTCTGAGAAAATGGGTAGAATAGAACCTACCTGATATTGGTGCCACATGAGAGATGATACTCACAGTTGTCAAGGGGTGAGGGCTACTCCAGGAAACAATAACTTCTTGGTGTTTCTTTCCTAACATACAAGTTTCTATAGCTAGAGGAAACTACTTAAGGGCAGTCCGGGCTTGCACTCACTTGGAATTATAGCCAGGAATGAGGAAGGGACAGGTTATATATGAGACAAATGGCAGTTTCTACTGCAACCATCTTGAATGAAAACAAGCCAAATCATCACTTACATGGCCTTGTATTTGTTCAGGGAATACTTGTCACATAGTTAATGTTTTTTAATGGTTGTCTAGGCATCACTTTGTGGAAGTTGTGCATTTATAAACTGTTCTGTTTCTAATTTGTTTGCTTGTCCCACCCACACTGCCCTGACCTCCTCAATGCTGCATTCATTTGTTAGCACAAAGTGTATGCATTCTTCTAGTTGGTGTTCTTCGAATATATTAAGTACCTGAAACCAAGCAGCCCCGCTTTCCACTTCAGTGTCTAAAAGACAAGACGTGCTAAGAATCTGAGACACAGAACTCAACCCCCATCCCCCAATGTCAAGCAAGTTCACAACTCGGTAACACATTACAGGAGATGAGAAAACAGTTGAGTATCACTTGTTTGTTTTAATCACAGGCCAAAAGGAAGGTCTTGTGACAGATGTCTTAGTTCTATAATAAAATGACATATTGCTGAATAGTGATATATCTCTCTGCCGTTGGTGTAAGCAAAAGTGTACACATGTGGTGGTGTATAGGAAATGCACATTTTGCTATGTTTTCTAGAAGCAGCAGTTGAATCTTTTGTGAGTTATCTAGATTTTCTAGTTGATGTTATCTTGTTAATAGAAGTCCTTGTCTGTCAACCAGGTGAGAAGGCCCTTTTGAGCTGTCATTCACATGACTTGGTGCTTGAGTTTACATCTTCCTTGTGTTTGTAAATAAACAACAGTTAGAAGCTACTGAAGGCTCCCATCTTAATTCAAGGATTATGATCAAGTCACTGACAGTGGCTTATGGAGTTTTACATACACACAGTACATACACACAGTAACCTTATAAATTCTTACTTATTCTTGAGAACATTCTCAACAAAAGGGCATGGCATGTCACAGTATCCAAATGTGGAGCTGAAATTCCAAGCCAATATTTTTCCTAGATGGATGTTACTGGGACACAATGCAAAGTGTTCTGTGGGGGTAGATGAGCAGTAAATGTGCAGACACGGTAACAGAGAGGCAAAACTTTCTTTCCTTTTCTATCAAGAATAGGACAGTTTACATAACGCCTGGTAGACCTGGGGTCCCCACGGGTTATTTCAGAGTGTGCACTATAGTTTAGTAGTTGTAGTTTAGACCATTTGCCAGGCAATGAGAGAATGAAAGTGAGTGGGTATTTCAAGTGATTCCCTTCTCTGCAAACATGTTTTCAATGACGTTTTATCTGCTTTGCATATGACTTCCTGAATAAGGTACTATTTGAAAGAAAATTCTGGGTTAAAAAAAAAAAAAAAAAAAAACAATGGTTGAGAATTTTTGTTTCAGAACCCTACTAAAAATCTTTCAAATGAAGGGACTAATACTTAAAAGGGGAAGGAGAAAAACTCCACCATATTTGCCCAGTTTCTCCAGATGCCCTTCACTGGGCCAAACACACGACTCTGCAGTCTTTGGAAGGAAATAGAAAAGCCAAGACACCTTTGGGGGTCAAATGATGGTTTCACAGGGAACATATGTCAGACATCCTACATATCAGATATTTACATTGTAATTAATAACAGTAGCAAAATAACAGTTATAACATAGTAACAAAAATGATTTTATGGTTGGGATCACCACAACATGAGGAACTGTATTAAAGAGTGGCAGCATTAGGAAGGTTGAGAAGCACTGCCTTAAAGGGTTGACCTTGAGGTTACCCTGCGCTCTTGTTCAGAGATCATTGTGGAAGCAATGTAGACATTACGAGATCAAGAATAATGTTAAGCATTCCAGTCCCACTGCCTGACCATTGGCAATTCTTAGCTGGTCTTCTAGATCCAAGATGGTGAACATTAGTCAATGAACAGGCATTGGTTTGGTTTCTCTTCCAGATCCCAAGGGTTTCATATACAACTTCTGAAGAGTCAGCTTCTTCACATTCTTCTTCACCAGCACAGCACAAATATTAAGAGTGAATCCCCAGGGTGGAGTGCTTAACAGTTCTGAGCTTTGTATGTTTTTCTAAGGGGGGAGACTATCTGAGCAGGGGCATTTGAACATGCGTCAATTCTACTCTTCTCAGTCCTCAGAACACTGGTAAAACCATCACTTCTTATGCTCTGTCACCCATAAATAAAGGCAGGTTTGCCTTAGACTTTGTTTATGAGGCTAATATATTAAATATACACTCCACAATTTGTGAATCCTCTGAGTTACTTGGTAGGGAAGAAAAGAATTTCCATGGAGAATATATTTGGGAAACAACAGGTCTCTTGGTGACTCAGAATGTCCATTAGGAAGATGAAGTACTAAAGAGGATTTCTTGAGTTTGTTTCATCAACTCCTAAATTCTTTTTCCCATCATCTTTCTTTTTCTGCCCCTCTTTCTCTTCCTCCCTTCTCTTTCCTCATTCCCTTTCTGCTAGTGACAGTTTCATCAAGGTTCATGTAAATACTTTTGGAAAATACTGTACTTACCTGCTTACAAAAAACTTGTAAAGGTTGATTTTGACTTTCTAGAGCCACCATCATGCCCACAGAAGGTAATGTTAAAATGAAATGAACAGAGAGTATATTATAACACACCAAAACACTGGTGAAAGTTGTTTAACACCTCCCCCTCTGAGTTAGTTGATGTCAATTATTTGGGCATTTTACAGGAATAAAGCATTTTAAAATGGAATGAAGTTAGTCTATATAAGGTCTCTGAATCAGAGCCAGGAGGTGTGAGATTGGGAACAAGCTCTGAAGGGCATCTGCCAATCAATTAATAGGTGTGAACAGACATTGAGTTGATAGAGATTGAAAGGGTTGTTTCTGTCAAGTTATGTATAGCAATAGAGAGATGATTTTCTTTCAAGCTAGGTGGACTAAAACTCTGCCTCTGCTTCTTGGTAGCAGAGAGAGTGTAAGGCGAAAATTAACTTAACTGTCAATGTCCCAGGATGATGATGATGATGGTAATGGAACTTCCCTGAAAGTGTCATTGTGATGAGTAGGTGATATTGAACAAGTACTCATCTAAGAAGTATTTATCTGCTACATATAAATATTATTAGACATTAATATTGTTAAACATGATTATCCACCAGAATTGCACAGCCAATATAAAATTCTATGTAACCTACAAATCTGGATAGGATGTGAGAAATCTTAAAGTTGGAGAAAATAATTATGTAGGTGCAGTCTTTCTGTTGATAGCCCCTGACACTGGGCCACAGTGGGAAGCTCTAATTTTGGAGGGCACTTAATACTGGATTAAAAGTATAGTTAGCAAAATCCTACCAGTGTGAAGTGGTGGGTGGACACTCTACCAATGACATTCTGTGGCCTCACACTGAATTTCTTCCTACCCAGAAGCCTTTACCAGAAGTCACAGGAGGAATAAAGCCTGCTGCTGTGAGGTTGAGGAGCACATATCACCATTCCTTACCTGAACGGGTAGGCAAAGGCTATGTCAATGCTGAGGTTACTTTCTGTCTTGTTGACGCAGTCCACACTCAGCCGCAGGCCTCCTGAATAGCCGCCACATGTTGCAAATGCAAAGATTGCAAAAAGCTGTGGAGAACAGAAAAAGAAAGTAAAGATGGCTATTAGGAAGATGGTGATCATAAAAACATGATCAGGAGCCCAGTGTCCAGGCAGAAGGAAGTTGTAGGCTGCTACAGAGCAGCATCACATCTTAATGAGCCACAGGAGGATGAAGAGTAAGGTGACATAGGCTGTAAGGGCTTTTAAAGAACAGTCTTGTGACTTAGAGAAATGTTGCTAGGGTGGGGGGAAATGACTGTGTGTGTAAAGCAGTGCCATACCTCAAGAGGTTGATGGCCTAATTCCATAGACAAAGACCTGGAGAGTTTCCTGTGGATGCCTCACAAAGGTGTCTCTTCACATTTACTCAGCTCATTTTATTCAGTAAACACGATTTTTCTTTTGGAATGGTATAGATTGCTTTCTGTAAAAGCATGACTGCAGAAATCTAGAGTTACGGGACTGAAGATGAGATAAGTAAGAGGTTCCATTCAGAGCATGAGCTCTCAGAGTTCTCTGCCTCAAGTCCCCACAGGACTTGTGTTGCCTGCTGTTTCTAAATTAACTAGTGGAAGATTCAATGTTACAAGTTAATATCATGCCCTTTCCTGGTGGAAAATATGAATCTGTGGGGAAGAAGACACTGAAAAGTGGGGGCACAATACTAGAGATGTCTTCTATACAGGAGAAATGCCAACAAGGCAGCCGTGGCAAGAGCTGGGGTGTTTCTCACATGAGAACTGAGGAAATGCTAGACTTCATTACTTCATACACTGCCTAAATTTAAAAGAATTTCCTGCTCATGTCCAAAGAAAGCCACCCTAGTGCACTTCATGCTAACTCCTCCTGAAAGATTCTAATTTATCTTAGTTTTGGAGCTTACCTTCTTATAATAGTGTATCCTCCTCCATCAGGAAGGAGCACTTGCTTATGTTGCCCAGTGAGAGGAACTATGTGCAGATTAAATGCAGGGGCCCTGGTATATAAGTGTTGTGGACATTGTTTAATATCACCATGCCTTAGTTCCCTCATCAACAAAATGGCATTGGTGATAACACTTGAACTGTTTGCTGTTTGTGATATGAGACAGTTACTTGGAGAAATCTGCTGGTCTTGGGGAAGTGTCTGCCCAGAAAATCCAGAATGAGAGTTATCTGCCAGATGAATCATTGGTGGAAAAACACCTTAACAATTGTCTTCCTCAATTGTCTAGTCAGCATTTATTGGAAAAGATTGGTTAATGACAACAATACATTGTAAAACCCTCATAAGGTAACTAATGTTTGGTGGACCATTTTCCCATATATGCCAGTTTTCAAAATCAGTATTTTAAAATGTGGAACAAATGTTAGACATAATTAGAAGTGTGGAGCCCATAGTACTCTTGCCACAATGTGAATACTCAATAAACTCAATAAATGCTAGTGAATATTATTACTGTAAATACTGGGTTTTGTGATGAGTTGTTCCAGGCCATAGAGCAGGAAATCAGCTATGCATTCAACAGAAAATCTGTTTTTGTGTTTTGTTTCTTTGCTTTCCAGCTTGCCAAGTGATGGGACTGACAGGCATTTAGCAGCCACTCCAGCCCACTCTACAATCCCACTCGATGCTCAGAGCTCAGCTTATAGTGTTGACAGGAATGAGAAAGAAGTGGTACTAATTGTTTAATGTTCACATCTATATTGTGCGTTATGGTGGTGGATAGCCCAGATCCTTGTAGCCTGTTTAAATGGGGGTTTTGGTGAATAATCTTTTGAAGAAAGATTGGAGTTGTGGAGTCTAAAGAGCTATGGAATTCTAAAGAACCTTTTGCTCTTCAAAGTTCCACATCTGTGAAACACTTTAACAAGTGTGCTGCTCTTTACTCACAAGAGTGTTTTGAAGTGTTTTGTGTGTATGTGCGTGTGTGTATGTGTGTGTGTGTGTGTGTGTGTGTGTGTGTGTGTGTGTGTGTGTGATTAATATTACTGTATTGGATATATGGCAGAATAGAATAATCATGTCAAAAAGTTGCATTTTAAAAATTCCTTGAGGACATTAATGCATAACTGAATGGCAAAAGAATAACTCTTGTTAATTTCTATGCTTAATAACTTTAAAGAAAGTGCTTATAATAAAATTATTTCACTAGTAGTGTAACAAGTAAGTGCTTTACATACAATTAAGACTTTTCACTAAGACATTATTGATGCCACTATGTAAGGAGCCTAAGATGAAATGATAATTATTCACTAACTGTATAGATATATTACATGGATAGTAAGGAGCAATTAGACTATTGAGACCATACACACATTACTTTTTCCTTCAGTTTTATTAATCTGTATAAACACAAGACATCATACTCCAGTTGAACTAGATACCTCTAGCTTTGTGATTTTCTTATTCCCTACTGTCCTCACTGATTAAAAGGAAATCACATTGTATGACTGATATCAATTCATATGTGTTTGGCAAGGATTAAACAGAACACTGGGAGTGTCAGACCCTGTTGAGTGAATACCATTACAGGGTTGTTTAGCTCCATATTTTGGAAAATGAAATCAACTCCATTGGAGTACACCATCTAGGGGTCTAGTCCTATAATAAGGAAACATTCAAGCACAGCGCAGAGAGAGGACTAGAGGCTCTTTGGCCTGTGAGGGGTAGAATTCTGTGGTATTATAGAGGAAGGTACAGTGGCCTTCCTTCCAGCGCTCCACCCAAGTGCTTAACCCTGGGTGGCAGAACACAGCATATCTGACTTTGAGTCTAATTCCTAGCTAGGTGACCCTAAGCGAATCACTTCACTTCTCCAAACTTCAGTCTCTGGTAAGCCAAGACTAATCCACTGATTCAACAGGTGAGAATCCTGATGTCCAGACTCCTTGAGACAGTGTTTCAGTCAGCATCAGAATTTTGGGGAAAGCAATATGTTTGCCACAGAGTAGAGTTAACAGTCAAACTGTTCATAAATGCATCATGAGAGCAACTGGGGATTCTCCAACTTTCTCTCAATTTTCTCACAAACACCTATGGCTATCTCACTAGCAAAGGAGAACAGGCCTTGTGTTCTTCCTCTCTTCTCCCTCAGAGGGATAGATTGAGGAATTTACAAGGAGGACTTTGTAATGTGTAAAAGCCTTCCCAGGCTTGACAACTAAGGCTGAGAAGCCCTGATATTAGCACAAGGAATGGCTGGTTGTCTTGTGGATGCTCAGTTTTACAAAACAGGAATATTTCATAACACAAACAAGATCCTCTTCTGAGGTATGGCAAAGATGGAGTAACCAATGTGCATCTGTGGGGATGAAAACTGGGAGCAAGTCCTGCATATTTAAGTAGAGAGAAAAGTCTAAAGGGATGGAGTGACAGTGGAAAGGGTTGTTGTGAGCAGATTCCGAGAGTTTCAATTGACATGGCTCTGTAAGGGCTGCAAGCTATGGAGAAGGATGAGGACCTAGTGTTCATGTATGACTGTGTATATACAGCCAAGTATGTGTTAGGTCCTCTACACACTGGACTCTGCACATTCAGCCTAGCAGTGCACTGGGTTACCTTTCTAGGCAACTGAAGGTGTCACCTGGGACAAAAGTTCATTTAAACATCCAAGGAGAATTGTAAAATCTTTGTGTTCCCATTTTTCACTGGGCTCCCAGTTCTCATAGCAGAGAACAAATTGTCCAGTGCATTCTAAGTTAATCAGTGTGCTGACTACCTGCATAATCACCCCCTTCCTCTGAGATAAGCAGACCAAAATAAGTCTCCTGCAATGAAGTTTCATCTTGCTTTTGTCTGGAATGATCTATGGCTCTGCTCTAAATAACAAAAAATACATACAAGTGGAAAAAATTAGCCAACAGAAAGATCCTTTGCACTGTATCCCAATCATAAACACATCCAGGAGAAATGCTTGCTGTCACAACATTGCTGCTCATTGTGACACCAAACTTTGCTCTCAATGGACGATAGACAGCTCCTTCATGGAAATGCCTTGACTCTAAGAATATCATGCAAACATGCTGTTAACACTCCTGTTTATTTTGAAAGTCACAGTTGAAAGCAATGGTTTGGAGGATGATAAAATATGAGACCAATTAGTGCTTTTGGTGAAGTGTGTAGCAAAGCCAGGAAGAGAGGACTTCTCCCCGAAATTTGGTAAGCAACCTCTGGCATGAAGGATAAATCGATACTCATGTCAACAGGCTGTGCTTACCAACAGCCACATCTCTCAGGATGAAACTCTCACTTACTGTGTGCCAATTTCCATATACAAATATGTCTACCATTGTCAATTCCAAGCTACTCTCAAAACATCTGAGCTTGTACTGAGAAGAGGGCTGCAGCATCAGAAGTACTCTTGTACAATGTTGTCTCTGTTATCCTGAGCAGGGACTTTCATCAGCTAGAGCTAGTGTTCAACAATAGAACTATTCTTTCATTCACCATTATTACTCAATTAGTCCTTTATTTTATTTGTATCAAAAGCCTCTCTCTCTCTCTCTCTCTCTCTCTCTCTGTGTGTGTGTGTGTGTGTGTGTGTGTGTGTGTGTGTGTGTGTGCATGTGCGCATTTGTGAATATGGGTGCCCACGTGATACATACTAGCACTGGGGCAGGGAAGTTGGTACAACTGGAGTCAACACTAAATGGAAAAATTGTACTGACTGTTGTAGAGGCAGGCAGAAGTCTGGAAGGTATTGCTTCATGTAGGAGCTGAGCTTCGATGCCATCCCCATCTGCAAATGTGCACTGAGGCATACTCCATGATGGCCTTCATGCTATGATAGTAGAGTCTAGCAATTGAAACTGATAGCTTATGTTCCACAAAGCCAAACAACACCTTTGAAGAAACCTCATTCTTATCATGTTCTAGGTTTCAGTGAGTGGGGTGAGGCAGAATAGAGAGAGCATCGAAATCCATGTCTTGTACAGTGTGGAGTGGGAACAGCTGTAAGAGACTAGGTCTCACTTTCCCAGACAATGTACAATCACTTTTTGAACAGGACTATGCCTCTATTTCTCTGTCGTCTTCCTTGTGCTAAA